GACGTCTGCAACACCGGCTCCGGGTCGGCCTCTCCCGACCTCAGTGTTCCCATCTGATAAATGGGCGGAGGCCAGTGCTGTGAGCACCACCTTCATGGGAAGCCAATGCCTGATACACAGCCACCTGCCAGCACATGTTGGCATGGAGGGACTGTAAGAGCAAGCCCCCCGAGAAACCCACTCAAAAACAGCCCTGCATTCACTCTTACGGGAACCACAGGCAGTGGGCGGAGTCACAGAATCGTGGAAGGTTCCCAGGGAGGACTTAAGCCAGGTTTTGCTTAAACCCTTTTCTCACCCTAATAAACTCATTCAGCAAAGTTGCAGAGTACACAATCCACACCCAGAAATCAGCTGTGTTTCTAACCCTGACAAAGGACAATCCAGAAAAGGAGGTGAATAAACCCAACCATGGAGGCGAAAGACTTGTACACTAAAGACGACAAAACTTTGGTGAAAAAAATGAAAGAAGATACAAATAAATGGCCACACAGCCCACGTTCATTACAGCATCAACACTGCTCTAAGCGATCTACAGGCTGAATGCATCCCTATCAGATCCCCATGGCGTTTGCAGACATAGAAAAGCCCACACTAAAACTCAGAGTCACAGGGACCTCAAATACCAAAACAATCTTGAGAAGAAGAATGAGGCGGGAGGGCTCAGCTTCCTGATGTCAAACTTTCTACAACCTGCTGCACTCAGCACCGTGCTGCTGGCCTAAAGCCGGCACGTCCACCCACGGAACAGCAAGGAGAGCCCAGAAAGAAGCCCCGTGCATGCGGCCAAATGGTCTCCCACAGGAGGCCAGACCACACAACGGAGAGAGGCCGGCTCTGCGGTGCTGGGAAGCAAACATCGCTGCAAAGAATGCCGCTGGGCTCCCTCCCACACCGATGCAAACAGGAACTCACAACGGTCAAAGACCCACGTGTCAGACTGAAACGGTGAGACTCTTAGAAGAAAACAGGGGAGCCGCTTTACGACACTGGACCTGGGTGATTTCTTAGCTATGACACCGAAGGCGTAGACAACAAGAGCAACACGTTCTCACAGGACTACGCTCCATCACGTGTGCAAACTTCTGTGTGTCAAAGGGTACGATCAGCAGTGGAAAGGCAGCCTGCGGCCTGGGAGACACTGACAAACCGTCTATTCGATACGGCTTAAGACCCAGAACACACACAGAACTACAACTCCACAACAGCACAACCACCTGATGAAGACATTTCTTCAAAGATGACACACCGACGGCCAGTAAGCATACGGCGAGTGATCAGTATCACTAAGCATCAGAGAAATGCAAATCGAAGTCGCAATGAGATGACCTCATCCCTATTTAAAAACACACCGGGGAAATGACCAGTGTTGGCGAGGGTGTGGAGAAATGGGAACCCTGGGCACAGCTGGCGGGAATGTGAAATGGTGCGACTGTTCAGAAAGACAGGATGGTGGTTCTTTGAGAAGTTAAGAGACCGACCGTATGTCCAATTCTGTTCCTGGGTGTCTGCCCAAAGCACTGAAGGCAAGATCTCACACTGCCGGCTGCCCATGTTCACAGCAGCATTATTCCCAACAGCCAAGAGGCGGGAGTGAGCCCGTGTCCACCCACCGCAAAATGGATAGTGTGGTACATCCACGCATGGCATAGTATTCAGTCGTGAAGAGGCAGGAAATTCTGACACCTGCTGCCACATGGACAAGCCTTGAGGACGTGACGCTGAGTGAACTAGGCCAGTCACAAAAGGACGTGTTCTGTATGACTCACACGTAGGAGGCACCTAACGTAGTCAAGTTCACAGCCACTGAGAGGAGGGTGGTTATTCGGAGCTTGGGGGGGGCGGGGGGAGCTATGCACATCATGTGGCGATGTGAGTGCGCTGCAGGGGAGGGGCGGGGGGAGCTATGCACATCATGTGGCGATGTGAGGGCGCTGCACACCGAGCCATGTGCTTTACGTGGTTAAGATGATGAAAGTGAGATGAGGCACCCTCTTCTCCACGGCCGGGCCCCGACAGCCAGAGGGACTGTCATTTGTCCTCTCGTGATGCTCTGGGTGCCAGGAGGGAGGGAGAGAGCCTATGCACTCCGTCCCAGGACCCACAGGGCTCTACAGACCCACTCAAACCCTTCAGGGTGGAAGGGGGGGAGGGGGCTGTTCTCAGGGTTCAGTAACATGTGCGTTCAGGGGGCTTGGTGCGTCACTGACCTCCCGCCAGCTCTCCTTGGAGATGACGGAAGTCCGAGGACGTGCTGAGTGCCCGCCTGAGCCTGGGCCCAAGGCCCTGCAGGTGCCCAGGTCAGGGGAGGCCACGGCGCTCCCTCGGATGCGCCATCAGAACAAGCCTGGCGCACCGGAGTCCAGCCCGCAGGAGGCCAAGCAGCTGTGCCCACAGACGCAGGCCGGCACGTCCACCTTCTCAGATCACATCAGCTCATGGCGGTTTCACAAGTTCCCAGCGTGTTTGGTTGTGTGACAGCACGGCCGACATAGCAGGCGCAGCCACCAAACTCAGTCACCCCTTAAACAGTGGGGACCCGAGGCCCAGAGGCGGGGGGCGGGACCAGAGCACGGGCTGCTCTCTGCAGGGCCTGTGGCCGCCCCGAACCCACAGGAGAGGGAAGCAGCACGTTGGCTGCATGTTCAGATTATCTTCATTTTTCAAAACCCTCTGAAGGCTCCAAAGACATCCTGGATCCTAAAACCATCCTGCTGTGGGGTGTGCACTCTCTCCCAGAGGTCTGGTTCTGAAGGCTAATGTGTGGTGGCGATGGTGGTGGTGATAGTGGTGACGATGGTGATGGTGGTTGCGGTGGTGGTAGTGATGGTGGCGGTGATGATTGTGATGGCGGCGGCGATGGTGGTGGTGGTGATGGTGGTGGCAGTGGCGATGGTGGTGATTATTGTGATGGTGGTGAAGATGGTGATAGAAACTAGTTTTCCAAGAATCAGGATAAAAATAAATAAAAGGTGTGGTGCTCAAACCGCATTTTATAAATCCGGCCCCTCTGAGGATGTAAAAAGCACCATGGACACTGTCCAATCCTCGGGGCTCCTCTCCGGCCTGTGGAAGGCCAGGTCAGCCCCGGACACCCCTGAGGAAAGCGCACCTTCCCAACTGGCTGGCCTGGAGTCGGGTTTCAAGCTGCTAGTGACAGCGACGGGGCATCCCCAGAAAGGCGCTGTCTGCACCCACAGAGGACGCAGGGCAGCAGGGCCGGACACTCAGCCGCCCCTGCAGAGAAAGGACGGGGCTCCTGGAGGAGGTTCTGGAATCTCTGATGCACACGCCCCAGGTCCCTCAGCACCACCAGCCTCATTCCAACCACACTGTCCTCAGGCCCCAGCCAGACATGCTGCCCCCGCGGACACCACAGGAGGGGCTGCGGGTGCTCGGCCACGGCTCCCGTGTCCCCGGGCCACGGCGACGCTGCATAGGTTGTGGAAGGACCTTTCAGCCGGCAACGGAAACCCCATCGGCCAAGGCCGTCTGCGTGGAGGTGGCCCCTTTCTAGAATGTTGCGGGTGAGAGAACCTTCCCCCGAGCCATCAAATCCATGCGGACTTCACACCGTCAGGGAGAGAAATCCAATTTCCTTCTGACCTGAAATTCTTGTTCAGGAGGAAGTCGCTTTATCGCCATGTCTCGTGCTGGGCCTGCAGCCCGGCGCTGCTGCTCTGCAGAGGGGCCCGTCCTCACCGAGGCACCGGGACACCAAGTCCGGCCCGGTGACCAAACTGGGAGCGTTTCCCCCCGGGAACCTCCATGGCCTTGAGGCCAATGTGTGGGAAGTAGGGCCATCTGGTCAGTTGGCTGCCGAGGGGACAGCGTCCCCGCCCTCTGTCCTTCCTCTAGGAATGCGGCTCATGGAAGCCTGGCCGGAGCCAAGCATCTCGGTGAATTATTGCAAAACCGTGACACGGCTCAGCTGGGGACACCGCTCAGCCAGGTCCCCTGCCCGGCTGCTGTGATCCTGGGTCCCGTGGGCGCAGCGGGGCTGCCCATGCATCCCGGGCCGGGCTGTGGGCGAGGCTCGGGGCCGCCATTCCGCACCCTGCAACCAGGAGGCCTTGCCGACTAGAGGTCCACGCCCCGCTCCCACATCTGCTTGGCCGGAGCCCAACCATCTCCCATAAATACTTGGCCCGGCCCCGCGCTGCGGCCCCGGCATCTCTTCACATTGAGGGATGGGGCGCCAACACGCACCAAAGCCCAGACAGCTTATTTGGGAGAATGTGAGACTCCCCGGCCCGGGAGGAGGGACGGCTGACAGACTGGTGGGCCGGCCCAGAAAGGAGTTCAGACATTGTCTAGCCTGGGTGCTACAGACGGGGAAACTGAGGCCTGAGAGGCAGCCCCGAAGAAGGCTGGGGTAGGACTGGAAGCCAGGCCTGCCAGCCCCCAGCTCTACTGAACAGTGGGGTGACGTTGCCCCTGAGCCCTCGGGTTCTGTGCTGACCCAGCTTCCACCCATGCACGGCCGTGACCCCAACCACCAGGTCTCCCTTCCATCCGTGTTTCTCTTGCCAAGACTTGACTCTCCCTCCTCGAACTTGTCCCTGGGACCCTCCTCATTCTGATGTCAGCTCCTTGGGGAGGGGCTCCTGCACCCCCCTCAGGTCACCCTCCAGTGCAGGCTGGGCTGTGGCTGCAGGACCCTGCCCGACCCCAACCTCAACCCGGGTGTGACTCGTGGAGGGGGCTGCAGCTGCCATCCAGGGCCCGGCTCAGAGCTCCGCATCTGGCCGGCGCTCAGCTGATGCTCCCAGCTGACTGTGGGCATTGATTTCAGAGCCAGGCTGGGGGCGTGGGGAAGGGGGAGCTCAGCGTCGGCAGGAGACCCTGTAGTGTAGGAGACCCAGCGCTTATTCTCACGGCGGAGCCAGCCTGCCAGTCCCCGCAGGACTGTCTCAGGGTCCCGAGCTGAGGAATCTCCCTCCCGGGTCCACAGAGAGGCTGGGGAAGGGGCACGGTCGAGGGACGCTGGTCACCGGGCTTCGAGGAGGAGAAACGACCCTGCGTCAAGGCCCAAGCACAGGGGCTCACGGAGCTGAGCGAGGGGACGTGGCGCTCAGAGCGGCTCTCAGAACATTTAAAAGAACAAGAACCCGACTGCCAGGTCGTGAGGGAACGAAGCCGTGTACACAGATGTGCACGCAGGGTGGTCCCGACTCCGTGTTCGCATTCGGCCAGAGTCAGGGAGGAAGGAAGCACCTGGGGCCTGTCTGTTTGTCTCCGTCTGTCTGTCTCTCTGTCTGTCCCTCCCTCTCTCTCTCTCTCTCTCTCTCTCTCTCTCTCTCTCTCTCTCGGTCTCTCTCCCCCCCCCCCTCGCTGAGTTAGGGCTTCCTTGACTCGTCCTCATTTGGCACATGCTCCCGGGATTCTCAGTGAAACGCTGATGCCCAGACGGGCAGGCAAGCTTTGCGCCAGCTTCTCCTGGAATCTGCTTAACGACCCCCGTCCCGTGCCAGGTGGACAAAGGGAAGGCTCATGTATGCCGAATGTTGGAAACAGAGGATGGCACACTCGCTCCACCTATCAGTAAATCCTTTTTGACAAACCAGTAGCCCAACCCTGGCGTG